ACACCAGAATTCCAGGCTTGCTTAAGATTCCTTGAGGTGATTAGTCCCAAGAATACATGAAAAAAGCAAGAGAAACGATAGGAGAAACGGGAAGAAGTTATAGACCTTACTTCAACAATTGACAATTGACCGTCCCGACAAGAACGAGATCCTATTCCTGGAACAAAACAAAACAGAAAGGACAACAGCACAGACGATACAGTACAGGAGGAACATGAAAAACAAGAGAATGACAATGACGATAAAAATACCGAAGAAATGAAGGATAAAGAGAAGTAAACAATTGATGGAAAGGAGTAGACAAGGAGGCAGCGATTCCCTAAGGGACTTTAAACTCGAAGTTAAAAGCTGTTCGTTTATTTTCCCGTTGAAGGGGGAATGGCATTCGGTACGGATGGATAAATTTATCATGATTGATATATAGATATTTATGTTAGACCTAATGATATAAACCAATGTCTTGATTGGTCAGCTGACCTTGTACGGTGTTAAGCCAACGTTAAACGTGAGCAATAGACCAGACGATAAATAAATGGTTTTTAAGAACAGTTGTTTTACCAAGCTAGCGTTTATGAAGCCCGCGTATAAGATTCCGCTTATCAATCCGTTCGGATTCTATATACACACGTTCATACATTGGGTATGACAGCTATGTTCAAACTACTTTGATTTCTACTCGACCTGTATTTTCACCATCTCGTCCAGTTTTTTGTTTGATTCGACATTTAATTGATGTGATTTATATACGATGAAAACTTTTTAAACGCATTAAAAAGTTGATAAATCAGTAAAAAAAGTTTTCACTTGATTAGATTATCGTCGTATCTCGGGTTTATGTTTTCAGATCTGAAAAGTCTTTTAGATCTGGGATATCGATTTTCGGATCTAGCAGATGTGGAAGATTTAGGAATTCATATCTTTGGATTTTTTGATCTGAGACACTTCAGAAGTAACAAAAATATATGCTTCAGTTTCACCGCAAAAAAATGCTCCTGGTCATAATTGGTTGCTGATGCAAAGTTTTTTGATTTTTGATCAAAAAGTCATCGTTTTTACTTCTATCGCTAATTAAAAACATAAGCTGCCAAAACATGAAGCAGTTTCAACAAGCAAACACAAAGTCAGTTCTTTTATAGATTAATTAGTTTTTGTTTTTGTTTTATTTTTCTAATAATCAAAAAATGATTAAATGAAAAATGAAATAGTTAGAAGAATTTATTTTCAAAAAATTTTTCTTCAATCTTTTATGAAGTTTTTCACTTAAGAAGTTTTCGATTAAGAAGTTTAACTTGAAGTTTTTCGGTAGTTAAAAAATTCTCATTTTTGTCGCTTTTTTATTGTCTTTTAAACTGATTAGTTTATGAAACTGAAGCTACTGAAAAATTTATTCGCAGTCATGTTTGGAAATGTTTGCCATATTTTTTAGTAAATTTTTTGGTCTGGCTAAAACTTCAATGTAAATTAAAATAAGTTTTTTTCAAAAAAAGTTTCGATGGTCAGCTTTAATTTTTTCACAGCACAAAGTTTTCAAACTCAGACTTTGCTAGTTGCTTCAAGTTTCACTCTTTTATTTGACACTTTCATTGCAAGAAGTAATTTCATAATTTCTATACTCCCACTGATTCGAACATCAGATATGGACTACTTCTATTCAGAAGACTATGGACACTTCATGGACTCGGGCAGGTGACATAAAAACGCATGATGCCCTCAATTTTGTGTTTGAGTTTTTAAAATTTAAGGATAGGTTTTACAAAAGAATTGTTTGATAAGTTATCTTCCTTTAATTTTTTAACTTAATTTTGCGAATCTCTAAAGGTATTTTCCAGAGGCGTTAGTAAAAACTAAGTGATGAATATGAATTTAGTTTCATTTTTTGCGTCTTTTAGCTCGCCTCCAATAAAAGTTCGAATTTGAAAAATTTTTAAAATTCAAATTTGAATAAGCTTGGGAAGAATTAATCCACCGACAACGCACATAATTAAAATCGGGTGCGCAGTTTAAAACCGAAGGGTCAACAGGCTGTTTTCATTTCCCGGCATATCGATTGATTGTGTTGAAAATGCTTAAGATAATTAACTTGAACGCTCTCGACTCAATGATAAAAAGACTCTCCTGAAACAACTTCTTACTACTCTCTCTAAATAGGAAATTTGAGTCTTACAAAACCACCTATTAGTGTTTTTGTTTAAGAATTAGCGTAATTGTTTGGGGGAATTCTCGAAAGTACCCGAGTCGAGATTTTTCACCTAATTTGAAGCAAGATTTGAGCGGTTTGAGCTGTTTTTTTAGACAATTACGCTCAAAATCTTGCTTCAAAATGAGCGGTTTGAGCGGTTTTTGAACGGTTTATCTTAAAAAACCGCTCAAAAACCGCGCAATTTTTCGAATGTTTCAAACTTTTAAAGTTTATTGAATTCAAGTCTGGTTTTTGTGCTTAGGTCCGACTATGACTATAGCTACTTCGACTATGATGGGTATGGAAGAACCGTTTATTAACAGCAAAAACTTGACGATTCATAGACAAACTATCACTTAATTGTATTTCTAGGCTCTGTTTCATGGTATAACGAAAGATTTTATCTGGCTCCAACTATGTTTGCTGAAGCCCAGAAAGTCTATATGCCAGTTTTTTTTAACCATCGTGAACTTTGATCATAAAATTACAGATTAAAGTTTTCAGGTGGGCCAAATAAAAATAGCCGAAACCTGGAATAAAACTGCTTTTTTTCTTTTTATGCCTGCTGAAACTGAAACAATGAAGAGTTTTCCAATATTATCCCAACCATCGAACGGAGGGAGAATTTTTCAATTCGGATTCGTTTTTTCTCCCACAATTTGAGTTATCACAAACAAATTTCACATAGGGTCAAATGAAAATCCTTGAAGAAAGTTTTTTGATCATAAAAGCAAAAAATGACTGAAAGTTGCAACTTTTTTTTGTGAAAAAAGGAAACTAGATCAAAATATGTTGTGTTGTCGTAGACAATTGTCAGCGAGTGTTCATTACACTTTCAAATCTAAAAAAGTACCCATTTTTCGATAAAATCTATGAACACTGTACTGGTACCTTTTTTGTCGCTCTAACTCGGTGGGACTGTTTCAGAAAACGTTTTCCATCTTGTCTGAAATTTGTTAAAGATTTTTATCTTTACAAAAACCAGGGGTCAAAATCTGATTGCTCCAATTAGCCGTCATTTTTGCCAATTTTCGGCCTTCGTTTTGGAAAAAAAATCAAAATCAATTGATTTTTTTCGGGAAAAGAACAAAATTTTTTCCAATGTGCAAAACGCAAACCGCAAAAAAAACTTCGCATTCGATTAAAAGTCTTGTGGAAAAAAAATAGAAAAAAGTAGACAGAGGATCTTCATTGAAATACCGCAAATCAATGAAAAGCATTTGCCATAATTCCACTCAACACAGTTGCTCAAAAGTTGTAATCAAGACAACGAGGAAAATGCATAGTTTACTCAAGTCATATTTAAGTGAGAGACAGAAAATTGTGTTTTTCTTCTACAAGCAATCATAGCTTTAAACTTTATCATCTGGAGTGCAACAAGTTTACATGCTCGATCCCATACTTTTCCTAGTCTATATAAACATTTTTTCTGGTTGCTTTAAATCTTTTTGCCATTGTTGTAATTTTAAATATTGGAAAAGAATCCCACTCAAGTTTCGGAAACAATGTAAGTGGATTAGCTAAAAGGTGTAACACTATCAAAAGATGAGAAGTAGCGGTGAAGCAAAAAGTTTTATTTTTGATACTAACAAAATTAAAGCTAACATCTTGGCTGGGTTAATGATAGTAATAAGAAAACTCAGAGAGCAGATTGCACTTCTTATGAGAAAATAAGCATCACAGAACTATAATTCTGTATGCACTGAGAACCTTTTTATTAACAAAGAGTTACTTGCCAAAAATTGTAATTGAAAAACTAGAGAAATACCAGCGCTTTCTGTCGAGACTAAACTTGAATCTCAGAAAACTTGACATTTTGCATGAGGCACGACGTGAGCCGAAACTACTTACATTGGGAGGCTCATCTAAAGAGCTGATTATGCTTTTAGCAGAATTTTTTGTTAATTCATAAATGATGAAGTCAGCGATAAACAAAATTGAACAAAAAAAATCGCTTTTTGGAGAAAACAGAATAGATATGCTCAAAACAGAAGTGACAAAAACAGAAGTGACAAAAAATTCCATTGAGTTGGAAAACTTGATAAGAGTGTTGTTTATTACTTTTTTTTTGATGAAAACCTAATTCAAGATCTTGTTGATAACAATGAGAAACAGCTCAAAGTGTATCTCAGAATTATCTTGTTAATGATGTTGTTTGATAATATGTTTTTTGAAGACCTTTTTTGTTATATACAAAAATTTTACTTTTAGGGTAAATAGTTAAAATATAGTTCAAATTTTGAAAAAAAAAGCTCACCAAAAATGGTTTTTCTCTTTTTCAAATAAGCCGATAGTATCATGAGTATCACGTCTTTCGTGTAATCCAATGATTATTTGTTTTTTTTTCTACGATGTTTAAACGAACTTTTTGCGTGTTTTTAATACATCTTTTTCATTGGTGAAAATAACTGCTCTCTTTAAGGGGTTTAGAAATAGGTCGGAAGACCTGATAATCTCCTGCCATTTGTTAAACATTATGTAAACGAGTAAAAACTGTATGCATAATGCATAACGAGTAAAACTGCATAAAAATTGTATGTTTCTCTCGAAAAAACTGGAAAATTACTATTATAATTCGTTCTTCTTCGATAAAACTTTCTTTTGGTCGCGAATATAATTTTTTGATCTGCAAAGTCCAAAATAACTGTTTAAAAATCACTGTGAGCTCAACCTGGACCCCGCATAGTGGCTAAGATTTGAAAAACTAACTTCGGTCTCCGAGTTATCTCGAACACCGTTATAATCCAATGTTTAATTTTGTCAGTTTTTTCTGTTAATACAACGTGCAATTTCATGTCGTATCACTGCGGAGAAATGCGAAGCAAGGAAGAGCGACTAATTCAAATCTCGTTGACTAAATTTTCTCTCGAGTTTGTTCAGGTTAGAGTTTCTTATTGAGTCTTATATATTCAAGTGAAATAATTGTTACCCAAATTCAATAGTTTTTGGCCCACGTTAAGACCAAGTGAAATCATATTAACGAAATGACAGTCCAATTTTGTGGCGGGAAAGAAACGTTACAAAATCCCTATCACATTGGCGAACGCATTTGGGAAATTTTTCATGACAAAAAATAACAGGTCAAAAAAAACGACAAACCTGACAAGAAACGCTTATCTTAGCTCCGCCGTTTAACAGATTTAGAAAAAGAAATGTTCTTTAAAAGCATAAGTGATATTATTTTTTTTCAAAACATTTCAGCTACCAATACTGTTGACAACCATCATAGTGAACACTTATTGTCTTGTCGTTGTTCTGAGTAAAAAAGAACTGCGAACTATGGATTATTTTCTAGTTTCGTTCCAATCTGTGGCAGACTTGGTGTTCTCTGGTTATTTGGGTCTGTTTTTCTTCTTCTATGACATGTTTCTAGCACTCAATGCAAACTGCAAGTCGTTTACTGAAGAAATACACTTGCAACAACAAGTATTGGGATGGTTCGCTAATAAAATTGAAAACCAAATTTGGATGTTTTGAATTTCTTTGTATGCTATTCAATAACGCAATGAAAAAATAATAAAAGAAAAAATAACAATTATATAATAAGTCATATAGTGAAATGATAAAACTGCGAAAAACTGGAAGTTTTTGTTAGAGAAACGCACTAATTCGATATTTTTGGAAAACAGTTGAATACAGTTTTTTACTGTGCTGATAAAATATGGAGAAAAATGATTCAGATACCTATGCATTGAAACAGACAATTTCAATAAGCAAACAGATAAAATTTGCAAAAATTTTCTGAAGTGACGCTCAAGAGCCTTTATTTTAACTTTGCATAGCGCATGTGATATCTACATATTCATACGGTACATCAGCACATGGATGTAATTTAAAGTCAAAAAGGGAGAAAAAATTACATGTCTCCATTAATTTTTTGTGTTTTAGTCTGCAAGAAAATTATCAAATTATCGTTAATCAATTTGAACCCTTTCAAATTTTTGAAAACGAAATAAAAAACATGATAAAAATTATGACAGAGAAACGGCATATACAAAAACAATAAATCTTGCTCCCGGGGTTGAACAAAACACATTTTCCACATATGAGAACCCGTACTGAACGGAAGCTGTTTTTCTAGATAGAAATTCTATGTAGATTATCCAGCCTAGTTTTCTCGTATTTTCCGTGCAGAAGTGATCTATTTCTTTTCTGGTTTAGAAACAAACAGTTTCTAGAAAGAAATAACCAGAAATCAGTTAACTGCTAAACATGTTTCGAGTATACACAATAGAAAAAGCGAATACAATGCAAACTTACACTTGTTATAACATTGTTATTCTCCTAAAACTTGGGAACTCTATCAAGGGATGTAGCCTAGTTGATAGAACAAGTGTATAGCAATCAGAAGGGCGCGGATTCGAGCCCCACCATGATACTTTTTTCTAGCTAGAAACAGCCTAGATTTAGCTAATTTCTGATCAGAATTAGGATAAGAAATAAAGTGTTTCAAAGAAAATCCATGCTTTATTTAAACATTTCAAAAAAATTTCTGACCAGAAATTAGATTAGATACAAAGTATTTCAGGTCAGAAATAAAGAATTTTCTCGGTACGGGAAACTTTTTGTCATACATTTCCATACTTACAGAAAACTGTACGGAAATTTCCATGATAAATACTTTTCCATAAATAAAGTTGTAAAACTAGAAACTTTCCATATATAAAGTTTGTATGACAAGAAAATTAATATATGAAAATTAAAGTAGGCAGAGGCCTATTAACCTGGCTGAAAACTCCAAAAAAAAGATCTCGAGTAAGGACATCTCACATAAGGAGGTAGCCAACAGGAAGGTACATATATTTTTATGTCTGAAGACAAAAATTCCCGCCCATATTCAAGCAAAGGAAAAACAGATTTACTAAACACTAGAAACCTGAAAACAAACGAAACATCTGACAAAATTTACAAAACTTAAGAGCACGCAGAATCGCAACCTAATTATTAAGATAAACAAAAAAAAATTATTTACTAAAGCATTTGAATAACATTAAAATCACACGGACGAGTCGGGAGTTTGGCATTTTTTGCCATGCAACAAAAGCGTGTCATTGGAAGCGAGCAAAAAAAATTGCAATGGCGATAACCGATTTGTAGAAAAACTTGAAAAAAATCATCATTTTTTTGGAAAGCAAAAAGTGAAATATCAGTAAAACAAACGTGAAAAACAATTAATAGCTTTAAACAAACTTTTTGTGTTTCTCAAGCTATCAGAAACTCATCGCAATGCCCATTTCGGCTGTCATATGCCGTCAAAAATTTAAAAGAAATTAAAAAAAATAAAACAATATTAAATGAAAAATTTATTCAATAGCCCAAATTCCTGGGAGAGGGTTTTCAACTAGTTTCTGTACGATTATGAGCCATTCGAGTCGCATCTGATTCGTTTCATTTTAGAGAGAAGTACATACAATCCGTTATCATCAGAAAAAAATTTGAAAACCACCATTTTATGGCGAAAAGTTCATTCGGTGAAAAACACCCCAGCGTAGTTTAGCTTTTGGTTCCAACGCGACCCCAATAGGTTTACATTACCAAATAAAACTGGGATCATCGAGATGCCCGTATTGAATGTCATGCGCAATCATAAATGGAAAAACTCCTCCTTCGAAACTGAGTTGCATCAAGCCAAGGAAAAACAACAATCTTTTTACAGAAGACCTATTAACTAGCCCAAATTCCGCGGAGAATGAAAACCACCGTTTTGTTGACGTTTAAGTTCATTAAGTGAGAAATGATCCGGCGGATGTTGGCTTTTCACTTCAACGCTTTTTTCGTTTTGAGAGATATTTTTAAAGAAAAATTTCTTTTCTATAATATCTTTTTCAGTAGTTTTGAGAAAAATTGTTGCTCTATGGGAAAAAATCATACAAGTTTCATATTTGAGTTTTGTATAATGAGCATTTTTTCATTCAAAAGTGACATCTTGTTTTTGACAAGCAAAGCGTTTTCATATGTCGATAAACTCTAATACCCCACTTGAAAATTTCTGAAAATCGTTTTAAAGCATTTTGGAACAAGTGTTGAAAAATGCCTATCATACTACTTTCTTACGTGGAAATGGTATGATGAGCGTTTTTTTTTTCATTCAAAAATGACATCCTACTTTTGACAATCAAAGCGTTTTTATATGACGTTAGACACTATTGCCCCATTTGAAATTTTCTGAAAATCGTTTTCAAACATTACGAGGCCAAACTGTGCACTGGATAGGCGCACAATTTTGGGTCTGTATGTTGCTGGATTCCAGAAACAAGTCTTTAAAAATGTTAAAATTTTGTCAGAACAATCAAAGGAAATGAAAAAAGAAAAGAAGAATAAAGGGGGCGTCCTTGTAGCGGAATCAGTATAAAATTCACAAAATAAACAGTTTGGCTTCGTTAGGAAGCATTTTTGAAAAACAATTATCAAAAAAAACGCCTATCATAAAGCTATTTATATGTGAATTGTAAAATAAACATTTGTTTTAAGAAAAAGAAACAAAATACCTCGGTTTTTCCATCACCAGATTGTTTTAATATAGTAAGTACTTTTTATATTAACCATTTTTCATCTTTTTTCAACTATTTTGTGATATTGTATGATAATTTTATGGCAAGCTTTATTACATACATACACTTGGGCCGTTGCAATTGCATGTAATAAATTTACAATTTTCAGGATTTGGTGCAACTCTAAAAAAGTTTCTTGAAAAACATTATCATCAAAGTTTTTGCATGTGGAGAAACAACTATATCACCAAAAACGTTAACTCTTAGTAGTTATAGCAATTAATCAATTAAAAATCTCTTGAGAAAGCAAAGTTTGAGTAATTCAGACTTGATTTTTTGATTTTAAATCGTCCTTAGGATTGCATCGAGGCTTGATAAATCTTGAAATTTACCATTCAAGCCTTCTGTGTCATTTTTGCGACAAAAATGTTAGTAGTGCTTCAAAATTGTTTATTACTTCTTCGAACGCGTATCGCTTTGCTCCGAGTGCTCCTATGTGATTAATCTAACGAATTGCTCGTTGGAAGCATAGGGTTATTCCTATAACAAAATTAAATTCCTAATATGATGACATTAGAATGTTTTGTGGTTTTCAATTCTTCTTCAAAAACAGTGAACTTAAATACAGCTCAATGAAAACGATATGCGACTTCGTCAATAAACCGGGGTTCGAAAAAAAGACGAAAAGTAAGAGTTGAGACGATTTTTTTTAAAACATGTAAAACTTCATCTAAAATATAATTTGTACATACAGAAGGGGCAGGATTTTTCGGAAAAAGTCTCTCAAAACAAAATTGAAATCCTGCTGAAAGTGCAGAAAATGCCATTCATTGTAGAAAAAAATGAATCAATTTAAAACATGTTAGCAAAAAGTACCTTGCCCCACCGAATATTCTCCGCTAATTATCAATTATATGGCGATTTTATGTTCAAAAAAAAATTTAACCCTTATAATCAAAGACAAAAACAACAAATCATGTGGTGTAAATAATTTATTAAAAACTTTTAATTTGTGTCAAATATATTGGAATTATAATCTGTTTTTTTCTCTGTATAATACCAAGAACACGTATTTTTCCTACCAAGAACATTTTGTTGCGATATCTTTTATAATGTTTTTTCTCCAGATAATCCCAATATATTTTTTGTTTTTACCAAATAATGGCAATAACATCAATATCTACTTTTCTCCATATATTCGCAAGCGAAGCGTGATTTTTTGCAAGCACATTTTTCCGCCTTAAAACAACAAATAGAAATCATTGATATTGTGAAACCTTATCACTAGTGGGTTGGCCATTTTCAAGTTATGTTGTTCTTGTTTTTAGCTCTAATTTCTTGTTAATGTTACAATTTTTTCTACCTTAGATTATTTTAAAATCATTATGGATTGATAAATTGAATATTCAGCAAAAATGATACTCAAATTGAAGATTTTCAGTTGATTCAGTGCAGTACCTGTTTTAGGGGGCACAGGTTAACGGATTTTCTCTCCCCCACAGAGAGTTAGAAAAAGTTTATGGTCAGTCAGCCAAAACCGAGGTCTTGAAATAGTACCAAAAAGGACGCTCTGCAGACCCAAAGGCACCCCCTATGGTACTATTTTAAGATATCCGTTTTGGATGACAGAACTTGAAATTTTTCAAAGGCATCTTGGCGCCATTATTTTCTAAAATTAGGGGGAAAGCAAGCCAAAAAACGCAATTTCAGGATATACTTTCAGCAATACCTTTCAGATGTTATAAAAAGTTTTCGGCAGCAATTGCTTACTAAAAGTCGAAATTTTTCTGGATTAAAAAAAACCGAGCACATATAATCCGTCACTTTTTTTGAAAGTCAGAACAATAAATACATTATACTTCAGCACTGATTGGAAGTTTTAAGTTTTTTGATAGCCACAAACCAACACTATTCTATGTAAATAATCCAAAAATTGATCCTAAAATTGGGTTTACAATTTTCCATCGATGAGTGTTTCCAAAAACTCATCCCTGGAGGAAATTTAACTGTCAAATTTCGAATAGGCACTTCAATTTAAAGTATTCTGGAGGCGCTTGAAAAATCCAATTGGTCGAACAGAAAAAATTGACAAATTTGAAGAAAAGTGCTTGAAAATCCACCCATCCCCCACGACAAAATCAAATTCCGCCACTAATACGGAATGAACCAAATGCAAAATTAAGCAAAATGTTCTTTGATTGGAATGCTGCTGTTTTGAAATTGTTCAAATAATAAAATTGTACGCCTGGTATTCAGACTTTCAGAATACTTCAAAAAAGTATGTTCATGTTCAGTGGAAAAAAGCTGTGAGAAGACTGAACAATAAAAAAAATTTATCTGTTTCTGACTGTCTTCTTTCGACAACTCGTTATTTCTTAAAAAAATTAACCTCCAAATAAATTCAAATTTTAATCACTCTCATTAGGATACTGAAACTTTTAAGCTAGTAATTTCGATTGGGGTAATTTTTTCAATCATTTCATAACTTGTATTTATTTCTAAGACAATAAATTTTCTACTAGCTCTTAAAATTTTCTTTAAAGTGCTTCGGATCAATTGAGCAATATCCCCCAACCCGTAATGACCCATTGACTTCTCTGCCCCATCCCACAAAAATAAGTTATATCGAACTAAAGCAAAAATCAAACATTATACAATGAAATAACACATATTGGCCGGTTTAGGTTTATAGAGAATAAAAAATGTTCATATGCGAAATAAAATTTTCAAAAGCTGTCAATTCAAATCGATGTCTCTTCATAAATTTTTGTAAAATTAATGCAGGAAAACTCGCCTGCATCCAAACATGCTTTTGGTTAACGTAAGTGTGAGTATCGGACTCCACAAAAAATTTCGAAAGCTTTACTGTTTTATGGGCGAAACCCAGGCCTCGAATTCCTCAATAAGCTCGCCATTCGACAGAATGTATGTTTGGTCCTGGATGAGCTACACTCTGGATAATCGGAAGGAGTGTTGCAGCGTTTCTTCGTTCCATAGTTTCAATATAACCAATTGCCGGCTTAACTTGTATCCACCATCTCAAAAAGCCAAATAGGGTGATGCGGAACGCGACAACTGTGATGTTTTGGCTTGTGACTTAAGCAATATTTGTCATTTTTGAGCACAATTCCTCCTGGTGCGCCAAGCCTAATTGGCCCGGCGAGAATATGTCGCGGGTGAATTTCTCGAAGTGAGGCAAAAAGAGTCGACAATTGTTCCCTCCAAAACTCCGACTTGAGTTGCCTCAGTTTTGTGCGACCTCCGCAATGCCAAAGATAGATAATTTGAATCTACTTTGGGAGTGCACTGTTCGATTTTTCAAAAAGCTATGTTTTCGAATTGGTGTTGTCAATTTAAATCGACTAGATGCCCAATTTTGGCAAATTCAGCTGAATTCGTCTTTTAGATAATTTTTCGAATTTTGAGGAGCCTGGAAAGCAGTGCAGGGACAAGAATTTTTCAGAAGATTTTTTTGTTTCAGAAATTTTATTGCTAATTCATTGTTTGAGAAAAGCGGCATCAAACTTTGATAATCCATTCTCAAAATAAACTATCAGTCAAGTTTCAAGTGGTTACAACAAATCTTGCCTTGTAAACATGTCTAAAGAACCAATCAGTTGCAATCGAGCTTTCTCTCCCCTCTCCCCTCTCCCCCACGCAAGAAGGGGGGTGGTTGAGAGATTGCCCAATTGATCCAGTGCTTCCTTACCTCAAATTTTCGGCGCATGCACAAATGTTGGAAAAAGCGAAAGACCAGTTTTCGATATGGAATGATAAAAAATTTTCAATAGACATTTTTGACAGAAAGTTTTCTATAGAAACATGTTTTATTTGGCGCTCACTACCACGTCAAGTGAAGTAATTTTTGCTGCCAAAAAAAGTTTAGAAATTTAGAAATCCAAGAAGCCGGGAAAAAAATTGCAAAATACTTCCAGATGGACCCTCTGCCTGATCAAGATGCCCTTTTTCAAATATAAAGTCTGCCAGCTTGGTCCAGTTTTTGAACCCTGGTTGTAAGATATGGTCGTCAAATTGTATCACTTGGATCTGACTATTACGACTACATCTTAAGGTTCGACTATTCTTCAGATGATTATTCACCAATCAGACTTGTATGGTTCAGAGTACGAAACTTTTGGAAAATTTTGAAATATATTCCGGATTATTTCTCATTCTGGTCGCAGACATTCACTATCTCAGCAATTGCTTTGGAACGCTATATTCTAATTGTTCATGGAAGCCAAGCAAAAACAATTTTGAGCTCAAGACGCAGAAATATTCTATATGGGTTAACCGTTGCAGCTAGTTTACTAGTTCCATTTTTATATATACCAGATTATTTGATCACCCAGTTTTTTCTAACAGAATACGACTGGTTGACTCAAGAAACAATTTACGAAACAGCTCAAACGAATGAGACGAATCAGATGAATGAGATGAATGCGGCGAATCAGATGATTGTCGAGAAAAACTCTCATTTTGCTCAAGTGTTGGTCGAAACAACCGTAGGCCAATTTCAAAATATACTACTTTGTTTTAGTGCCAATGTGTCGGCAATATCTTTTTTTCGTCGAAAAATCTGAACAAGTAATAAGCACTAACAAGTAAAATTTTTGGAAGTGAAATACAAAATCAAAGGTCAAATCAACCTGAAAAGCACCGTGTTTGACCATTGTGTTTGACATTTTTGCTTTAATATTAGGAATCCGGAGACAAGGAAAAAATTTTTCCGAAATTTTTTTTCAATCATTGAGCATTTTGGATTTCCCATTTTTCCTTTATTTGTTATATTTGTCTGCCTCAAGTTGAAAAAACTAGCCTCTGAAAGTTCAGACTCATTAACCAGTCTTAGAATTCAATCGAATCACCTTGAATGCGACAAATCAGATGAATGAAATGGTTGGCAATACTCAAATAATTGCCCAGGAAAATTTTCAATTTGCTGAAACGATGCTTGAGCCAACTATTTGCCCATTTTAAAATTATCTAAAATTTCATACAAACGGTAAAAAAAACGATTTCTGTTTCAACTTCAGTCTATAATTTGTGATGTTCCCAAATGTTTCAAAATTGTTTAAAACTAATTGAGTATATCAGATCTCAAATTTTGCATGCTGAAAATAAGTGTTTCATCAAAAAAACTTATTGATTACGCATTGAGTATGAAATAAAAAAAAATTAAAAAAAATTTTATGTTCTTTCAACATGCGAGTTCATCTATATACACCTGGGTTGACAAAAAGGCTAGCCATAAAATTTTTCTACATGTACTTTCTACTTAATCGAAATCATAAAATTCTATGAAAACATCATGACTAGCTTTTTTTCCATGAATGGAATTGTATGACATTACTTGTTCCATTATTGAAAAACAATTTTTTGTGTTTTTTGCACTACAAAATTGTGTTTTGCCCTGAAACACAATAACTAAAAGTTTTCTCAGATGAGACAACGAAAAAGGTTAAACGTCAGTAAAATCACAGATGAAATTACAAATTGAGATATGCCAAGTGCGTTTACTGTTGAGCTTTACGCAGTATCGTCCAAAATGTATTAGATTTTTGTATATGACTGAGGCCTTTTTTTTCCAAAAAATTCAAAAGTAAAAAATTGTGGCCTAATTGTTGGATATATTCATGCTTACGTGTTATGATCTAAAATCGAAAAAAAGTCAGAACTCACAGAAAACCTTCATTATGGACATAGTTATTTGCCTGAAAATCTTTTCAACAAAAAGTTACAAAAGTGTTGGTACTTTCATGAAACTCATAAGGCGACCAAAATGGAAACAGAAAGATTTTTTCTTCAATTTGGAAATTTTGCATGAAAAAAAAACTCTTTGTCGTACAGTTCTCATATATAAACGGTGTGATAAGCGGTTTCTTCGTTAAAAAAAATTAAATTTTCAACAATAAAAATTCGCTCATTCTTCAAAAACCACAATAAGTGTGTTCAAATTTACTTGAAAACAAGTTTGCAGGATTTGCAGTTTTTGTTTGTCTGGGGAAAATGCTTGTCAAACAACTTCGATTAGTGGTAAGCAGTATGAATACACTTTTTTTCATGACTCCAGTAATGGATTTGTATGATAAGCATTTTTTGTATGGCACTCAAAGATGCTTTGTCAATCATATACAACCCATCATATATAACGTTTTAATTGGTGATCTCAAAAAAATTTTCTACGTGTCCATGGAAACTGCTTTTCATTTTTTGAACTGGATTGTTATTTGGACTCTTCAGACTAGCAAAAAGAAAAGTTTTAAAAAAATTAGTTAATGATTTGACAATTTCTTTGATATTTGGATTAATGCTCTTAATATGATAAAAGTATGAAAAAATCTGGTGATGTTTTTTTTCAAAAATATTCTCTTGTTTGTTCAAATTATTTTATTTAAGAACAGAAAAAAAACCTTTTCAACTCAACAACTAAAAACATCTTTGACCGGAACAAGATCTAAAGTGTTCCCTAGTGGGGCAGATTTAAAAAAATCTAACTTTTAAAGGGCGGCAGGCGAACATTAAAAAAGTTTTGAAGTCGGTCAGCTAAAAATAGATCTCCCAAAAAACTACCAAAAGGGGAACCTTTGGGCCAGCAGGGGCTCGTAACACACACAGAGAGAGGGATCTTCGACCCAACGCCTACAACATGCTAATATAAATGGGAAAGCTAGCATAGTTTGATTATCAGAAAAAAAGTATCCAGCTGAACAAATCAACGATTTCCTAAATTTTACGCAATTTTAGATCAAAGAGGTCTCAATATAGCAAATGAACTGTCAATCACAAGAATAGTTTGTGTCTAAGAATCAGAAAAATTTTTTCAAAGTTTCTGTTTAGGTTAACTGGTTTTTGAAAGTTAAAAGCTTTTTTGGCGCTTCGAAGACCTTTTTTTGCACTGGGTGATGCTCCGTTTTTTCTGATTTATTATTCATGATATAACAATTTTTGCTAACTTCTCAGTTCGACTTCATTTAAAGTTGACAGATTTTTTTATAATTGATAGTATAGAAGTCTTTGCTTTGAAGGTAATATTTTAACAAATATATTACAAACAAATATTTCTCAAAAAATTAAAACTACGTTTACGTGAGCGACTCAGCCCATATCTTATCACTGCTTCAGACAAGGTTACATATCTCATGAAAATTAGAATGAAGACCAAAAATGCTCCTCGCGTGTTGCTCAATTGTCTTATGATTTGAAACTGATTGGCTTTTCACTGCATCATGAACTAGTTGTGTGTATAAAAACATTTAAAAAATACGAAAAAAAGGAAACGATTTTAACAGCCGAGAAAAATTTGTTCTAGATTGACTGTTTGACTTGACCTAGCTAATGCGACCTGACCTGGAATAGCTGAAATGAATAATGGAGTTTCGATCCTTCTAAAGGAAACCCATAGAAAATCATAAGTGGCTCGATATTAAAACCTATTGGTCGTAATGCGGATTGCTGGAATTTTTACATTTAGCAGGGGCTAATTTTAGTTGACAAGTTGAGTATTTTGATCAGATTGCCTCCAGTTGCTCAACTTTTTTGTAAATAACCCAAACTTGTCGAGAAGTTTCACACTGCATTTTGCATTGGGAGTAAAAAAAAATGACCAACATTTTTTTCCAAAGCATGAAATGTGATGTTTTTGTTGGCTTCATAAAATATTGCAAAACAAAAAAATGCACTAAAAAAAGATTCAATTACCTTTGCCATTATTTATGTTCTCAAATGACGCTCTAACAGACAGTAGTTTGGGATAAGAAAAAAGATCTGTAAGACCGGTGCAAAATGATTTAGCTGACGTCTTTAAACTTATAGCACCTTTCAGTTTTTCAATTTTCATGTTATATTTCATGCATTTGTCTAAACAAGAGTTTTTACTCTGAAAAGTTTAAAATAAACTATCCAGAAAAATTTAATTTTTTACGATGCAAAAAGTGATTATAGTGACGTTTTTTTAAGTCAGAAAGATAGAAACTCAAAAATTGTGGCGTTCAAACAGGCTGAAGTTTTCTCCAATTGTTTAATTTCAGTATATGATAGATCCAAAGCACTTATTTTTTCTGACTTGAAGAAAAAAAGAAATGATGAAATTACCCATGATTGCCCACAATCGATGCACCGAAATAGTGAACATACTTATCAAATATTTTCATACATTTTCCATATATGAAAAACTTCGTACCATACATTCATACGCACAGAAAATTGTATGAAATCTCTATGATAATTTCTTAATTTCTTTTTTCCATTTCTCAAAACTGCTAGACAAGTATTTTTAAATAAACCAAAAAAATGATTTTTTTTTTCTAAAACTAAGTTCTGAAAAATTTTTAAGTTGTGTTTGTAGCTGAACACAAGTGACGAAGACCTTGGCCTACTCAAAGCACCAAAGGTTGAACGATCTTGCTTTTAAAATGCTTAGAAAACGACCTGAATTGTCTCAGAGGTGTATTTCACAAACAATATAATGGAAGCAGCTAATTTTTAAAGTGGTAAATTGTTTCAACGATGATTACTTTTGAAACATGAATTTAAAAAAAAAACAAAAAAAATGTTGGGGCATTTTCAAATTGGTTTTTGTGTCGCCATCAAAAAAATGCTAGTCATACAAGTTTTATGAGTAGTATGCATATAGTGCGTTAGGATCGGGGGGGGGGGGTTGTCATACATGGATGACCATTAGGTATAAATCATAATGGTCACCATGTATTAATTGATCAGCAATAGTCACCATGTAATAATCCTAATTGTCACCATGTATAATTTTATACCTAATTGTCACCATGTATAATTTTATACCTAATAGTCCGCATGTAAAACTTCGGTATATTATTGAGTATTCCCACTGAACGTTGTGGAAACGGGAATGGAATTAAGGTTTGGTCGGTGCATGTTTTCCCTTCTAAAGTTTGGAGGTATTGGCTTGTTTACATGTAAAATGACGTTATATACCTATTATATGCAATCAGTTGAACCTAATGCAATCAAACTATATGGTATATAGGAAAGCACCAGATTTTGGCAGCGTAGCTTAACTGTTGGCTGCGGTGAACGATTTCCTTCAAAAATGCATGTTTTATTGCAGAATCTCGAAGAGAGGAAAATTCGTCAATTGCGGCGGCCGCCACCTCTATTTAGGCAAAAACTAATGATCAATTTGACCGAAATAAGAATGAAAAATTTCTTTAAGCCAACTGAAAGTAAAAAAAACAAAGAAAAATTATGCAACACTGAAAACTCTAAAATAATGAAATTGGCTTGAAAATTTCGACATTTCCATTTTCCGTGTCTACAGGAGACTGAAAAATAAACATCTGAAATCTATGACAAAAGCTTTGATTTTATAGAAAGGTTGAAAGAGCTAATAAGTTGAAGTGGGTTAAGATCTTGAAAAATGAGAACACTGATGAAAGCCAAAAGTGCCCAGAAATATTGTCAAAACTTGTACCTAACTTGTTACTATAAAATTGAAGTGGAACAAAATTTCTTGGGGTCCGAGCAGAGG